AAAAAAAAAACAACTATATTTATAAAAAAAGCCTTTGACAGAGAAAATGTTTGAAATTTAAAATAACAAATTGTATTTTTTTAGATTGAAAATATAATATTTGATTTTTTAAAAAAATTATTAGGTGAGTTTATAAGCAAAATGATTATGAAAGTGACCAAGAAAAAAATCAAAAAATTGAAGATGAAGCAACTGAAATTGTCCATTCTGAAAAATAGATAACACAATCAAAATATACAATAAAACATCCTGTAATACTGTGTTTGGCTTAAGAGTCTAATATATTGATGGCTGAAGTATAAGAAGGAAAGAATAAAAAGAACAGGACACACAAAAAGTCTGAATAAATAGAGACAGAATACATTCATTTCAAATTCAAAAAACTTAGCTAATCAAAGTAGGATAAAATTTTAAAATCTCATGCTGAAAACCAGATAAAGATCAAATCTTGAAAGCATCAAAACATCAAAGATACATAACAAATAGCAAAAGCAACAACTTGAAACTATGAATCTCACATCAGAAAGTAGAAAGGCCAAAAGACAGTGAAATAATATCTTTAACATACAAAGGGAAAAGAAAAAAAACTAAAAAGAATTTATATTCAGTGAGAATGTATTTCAAAAATGAAGACAAAATAAAAACATTCAGAGAAGGAAAACTAACATAATTTATCACCAGCAGAATTATTCAAGCTGAAGACAAATGATACCAGAGACAAACTCAGAAAATCAAAGCGCATGAAAGTATTGTAAATAATAAATATGATAAAAGAAAAGACTGTTTTGTCTTTATTTTTAATACTGTTTAAAGCAAAATATCATGACATTGATTTGTAGGATTATATTATATGTAGATTACATATGTAGTACAAGTCATCACTACAGAACAAAATATTGACATTGGGATTATTTAATAGCGTGTATATTTCATAATATAATACATAGATTTTAGATCTCATTTAACAATACATCAAAATGACAAAAGCTCTAATTGTTCTCATTTTAAAGTAATTTTAAATACTCAAAAAGGAAAACAGCATCTGTAGCATAAAGGGAAATGTAAACTTTACAAATAAACTATTATTTTTTGTTTAATAACCTGTATACACTTTAGATTTCCAGTGAATCATGCATCTTAAAAACTTCTACATCACTCTTGATTTCAGCCGAATTCCATAATTATTTAAAAGTTTTATATTCTTATTACTGTTTTTAAATAGTCATGCTATCATTGCAAAGATGTATTTGAATGTGTCATAGTGATACTATCTTATCTAAGTGCAATGCTATATGTTCTTAAAAATCAATACTACACTTTAGTCTCTCTGCCCCTGGGCTTTATTAGATTTCAAATACTGACAGAGGTAATGTTTTTAATGTCCTAATAGATTTTCAAATTTAGCTCTGAAAACTCAAGGCATTGATTACATAATAAAAAAATCTTATTTTGAAGCATTGGTAAATTATTTCAAGAGTAAGTGACTCAAAATTGGATTAATACTAAGGAAATAGGATTTTGAAATGGAGACAAAGCTCCAAGATAATTTTTCTACAAAAATGTTCTAACATTTAATATCTTAAACCAGAAAATTTTCTTACCTAAATTCCTATTAAGGCATACTCCTAATTTAACATTTAATTATATTTATAAAAGATACATGACTACTATTAAAATCACCAGGTTTCAATTGATCATGCCAGGCAGTAACTTACCTCTTATTTCTCTGAAGCTTTTGATATTATTTTCAACCCCATTTTACAGTTGAGGATACTGAGACCAGACAACAGGTTAGCAGGTCTAAGTTCTTAATCCAGCTACTCTCACTCCAGAGATTTTAAGTCCACCCAGATGATATAATTAAAGGATGGATGTCCATACAACTTCTCATTTTTCTTTAATATGCACTGCCTACCCCTCCCATTTCATCTCTTGATAAGGCTATCCAAAACAAAGCATAGAAAAATGAGAAAAAAAAGAAGATAAGTAAGGCAGGAAACACAATGCAAAAGATAGAGGAAAAGCAGGCATTCTATTTACAAAGAAGATGAGGGTGAGTAATATAGGATGTGAAAAACCTTCCAAGTACAAGGAAGAAACATAGAGAGGTACTGAGGGCAGGTGTGCCAAATCAGCAATCCATGAGACATTGCAATGGCAAAAGTTTGGGAGCAAAATTGAATATTGCCCTCTAACATTACCAAATCTATAACAAACCCCATTTATTGCAGTTAGTGGTTGGTAATATCAATGAAACTGGTTTCTCTTTGGAATTACTAACAGTAATTGATTATTACTAACAGTCATTAAAAATTCTAAACAAATGTATTTTTTGACATCAAAGCTAAAAAAATAAGAAATTTCATCTTGTTTACATAGAAGTTAAAAACAGCAACACCAAAATTATTCAGAACTCTACTTTTTAGGGCCAGGTGTTCTATAATAAGCATTACCAACAGTATCCATTTAGCTCTTACAATAACCATCCTATGAACTTAGTACCACTGTCCTTAGAGTATAGAAAACTAAGACTCAAAAAAGTAAATATATCAAGATCTTACAAGTAGGGACTAACAGAACAAGAATTCTAATTAATAGGTACTATATGAACTTAAACATTTCCAAACTAATATCTAATTCCTGAATATTTGTGTGCTTTAATTTCTCCCAGGGTGCTATCCATATTTGAATATGTCCTTATATTTATTTGAAGAAAATATTATCACTCTTTTTTTCCCTCTTTTTATTTATTTTTATTTTTTTATTTTTATTTTTTTATTGTTGGTAGTTCAAAACATTACATAGTTCTTAATATATCATATTTCCCAGTTTGATTCAAGTGGCTTATGAACTCCCAATTTTACCCCGTATACAGCTTGCTGTATCACATCAGTTACTCTCTTATAAAAGTAATCATCCTTTAGTTAGGCAATGTAGTATCTCTCTTCATACTATGTTGAAACCTACCAGATGAGAGCAGGATGGAATTGATTTTTGCTCACTTATATAAATTAATCACTGTATACAATGTTGAGTAAATTAAATTCATTAATTAACAAATGAAGAAGGAATAAAAGTTTGGCTCCAGAATCCCTTCAAAGTCTATTGGGCAGTCCATAGAGCTTTCTAATGAACCTGATTAAACAAATATTACTAGACAGAGCTGTAATAAGTCCAGCCAAAAGCAAAAAAAAAAAAAATTGACTGCATAATATATATAGCATTATCATAGTTACATTTTACAATTTCACAAGGTGTCAAATTAACTAACAAAATCCCAGTTATCATCTAGATAGACCTGTTGGAATCCCAGGAACCCAATTATGATAATCTGCTGGAATACTTTAGAATCAGAAATATTCCAAAAATGATCAAAGAATACATAAAATCAGACACTATAATTATTAAAATGTAAATGTCAGTCCAGGTTCCACTGACCTAATCAAATACTTGGGACAAAAAAAAAGTAAGAAATAAACAAACGAAGAAATAAAGGAAATTTTAAAAATTCAAAGCAATTACCAGACATATCACCATTGTGATCATGAAATGGTGGTGTTAGACTGGTTATCCCATTTCTCTTTTTCCAACCAAATTGTACACTCTCTTGTTCCATATTGCAGAGCCCGTCCTCAAAATCACATCTTTCGTAGTTAGAGCCTAATGAGAGAAAAAAGCAATTAGCTTGCACAATCTCATTTGACTTTGCATTAGTAAGCTTGTTATCACTGTGACCAAAATACCTAATAAGAACAACTTAGAGGAGGAAAAGTATATTATGGCTCATGATTTCAGAAGTTCAGTCCACCATCAGTAGACTCCATTCGTCTGGTCCCAAGATGAGGTGGAGGGAACATCATAGCAGAGGGATAGGACGGAGGGAAGCTGCTCAGCTCCTGGTAGCCAGGAAGCAGAGAGTGAGAGCAAAGCACCAGCGATGAAATATAAACCCCAAAGGCACTCTCCCGGTGACCTACTTCTTCCAGCCAAATCCTACCTACCTATAGTCACAAGCCGGTACAATAATCGTTTTAAAAAAAACCTTTTTTTTTTTTTTTTGTACCAGGGACTAAACCCAGGGGTGATTAACCACTGAGCAACATATCCAGTCCTTTTTATTCTTTTTTTTATTTTGAGCTATGGTTTCACTAAGTTAGTTAGGACCTAAGTTGCTGAGACTGGCATTGAACTTGCAATCCTCCTGCCTCAGTCTTCTGAGCAGCTGGGATTACAGGCATGCACCACCATGCCCAGCTCCTTGCAAATTATCAACCCATCAAATGACTTAATACACTAATTAAGTTATAGTTCTCACCATCTAAGGTCTCATCTGAGATTTGAGACAAACTCTTGGCTGTAATTCCCTGTAAAAATCAAAAGCAAGTTACATATATCCAACATAAAATGATAAATTTTAACATTTCCATTCCCCAAGGAAGAAATAAGGGCACAGAAAGAAAAAAAAAATGGGTCTATACCAAGAGAGAAACCCAGGTAGGTATATATTAGGTCCTATAGTTCCACATTTAGCATCTGGGACAAATGGCAGTGAGATGTGAGTTTCAAAGGGCTTGGGCAGCCCTGCCCTTATGGCCTTCAAGGTGGTGGTCCATGAGGTCTCTGTCTTAGGTTGATTCTGTCCACAGTCAGCAGCTTTCCTCAGCAGATCTTCCATTTCACTGGCATCTCTTAATTCAAGCTGGGGTCTCCATTCCAGCTTTGGCTTTATTCTCACAGCCTCATTTATCAACCTTTCAGGGGCTACCACAGTGATTATGACCTTGCCACACTATGCCTGGTCTACCAGGATTTCCTTGGATATTTTGGAGGAAGACTCCTTGATGCCCTAAATCCAGAATTCTGCTTCCTGAAGAACTGGAACCATATGGATGATGACATGGTCTTCTGAAAGTTCAAGCTGTAGCCAGGCCCCCTGGGACCCCAGCTGCAGCACTCTCTGCATGACTCAGAGGCTGAGCACAGTGAACCAATCCTGATGAAACCATTTCCTAGGTGCCCCATGCAAAGTTGTGTGTCACCGAGTTCTCTTAAGTGAGTTTCATTTTTACACCTTGAGCCTGCCACGTGTTTGCTCTTGGTGATTCCTGAGATGGCCTCAATGCATCTTTCCTATTGTCCCTGTGCAGAGTACTTAGTTTCTCTGTAGTGATGGTAATCTCTCCAGCAACCAGATCTTCCTTAGAACCAGTTTTCCAATTGCTTTTCTTGTCAACTGTGAGTTTTAAAATCTCCCCCCCCCTTCTGATTCTTACAGCAAACTTCACTAAAAGCCACCTGCATACCATGCCACCACCTGAATTTGGTGTTGCCTTGAAATTTTCTCTATTAGATTAATTAATCCACCACCTTTAAATTCAGTTTTATAGAAACTCTCAGGATCTGGGCAAAATGGAGGCAAGCTCCTTTCTGGGACGTAATGTGAATGATCTCTACTGCAGTTCCCAATTAAGTCCCCATTCCCCTCTGAAACCTCAATAGCACAGTTTTTGCTATCTGCATTTCTCTTGGCATTTTGCACTTCTGAGCTCCCCTCAGGATCACCTATTAAGCTCTGCTGACAACATTCTAAGGCTTCTCCAAACTTTTCCTAACTTTCCCAGCAAACCAGTTCCCAGTGCATCTGAACCACATAGGTTAGTCATAGCAATGATTCCACTCCAGGTATGAAGATCTGCATTAGTCAGGGTTCTCTGGAGAAATAGAACTTTCAGGATAAATGATTTATTAGAAGGGGATTTATTAGATTGGATTACATAATCAGAAGTAGGATAGTCCTACAATGTCCATGCAAAGGCTAAAGAGTCAAAAGAACAAGGAGCCACACAGTCCCAAAAGCCAGAGCCTTAGAACAAGAAGGACCAAAGATGTAGCCCCATGTCATCAGTAAAGTCCAGGCAACTCCCTGGACAATCTCTGTTCAGAGTCTGCTTTGGAACAGTGAAGGAGCAAATGTCTGATTTCTCAGGCACCTTCTCAAGAAGAATCAAGCTTACATCTGCCTGAACTTCCTCCTTCTTCCACCTCTTCTTTCATCTATGTTCCAAGCCGGTTAGACTATGCTGCCCACATTCAGGGCCGATCTCCCCACCCAGTTTGCTCTCCCACATGCCATTCATTTCAGAAAACCCCCTCATCAAAACATCCTGAATTCTCTTAATCTTAGATATTTTTTAGTCCAATCAAATTGATAATTCAGATTAACCATCACAGACTCTGTAATAAGACAATAGTAGAAAAAGAAAAGTTAGCAACAAATGACAAATACAAATTAACCTCAGATTATTTTTTACTAATCTATGTCTACTTTATTAATACAAACTTTTTGTATATTATATTCTAATAAATTACTGCACACAAAAGACAATGTGCTCAAACAGAAAGAATATTACATGGGGTTAGACAACTGAAGACCTACTCCTGATTTGAATTCATATTAACTGAGTCCCTTACCCAAACCATTCAATCCCCTTTCTTCACTTGAAAGGTTAGAATAATAACATCCTACCATCTCCCTTAAATAACTGCTAGGAAGATCTAATGATGATATATATATATAAATTCTTCACAGCTTCCAGATTCCTTGTAATATTAGGAACTATTATTACGTCTGAGCTCCCATCAGAATCACCTATTTAAGCTCTGCTTACAACATTCTAAGGCTTCTCCCAACTTTTCCAAACTTGATCTTCCTGCCCCCCAGTCATATCAGAATTTTAGGTTTCAGAAAATCAAACCCCAAAGGCCCCTCTGCTAAGAATTTTTATCACAAAAGAGGCATTTCAGGCTTTTATTTTTTATTGTTGTTGGTTTTTCTGGGTATAATGGATCCAAGAATTTGGAGAGAAACAGAAGAATTTAAGCACTTGGTTGTTCCCCAGAACAAACCGTATAATGCTTTATTCCACTATACAATATCTGCAAATGTCACCGTCTAAAAATAGACACTGTCAATTGCAAATAGTTATTCCTTGGTTTGTAGGCCTTCGCAACTGTGGCGATTGTCCTTTGACAAGTTCTCTCTTTCCCTGACTAGTTGAATTATGCACAGTGGCAGTAAATATATGACCTAATAGTTGGTGCTTGGCAGGCAACCCAGATGCAATAACATAATCATCATTTGTTCACCTTTTCACATAAAGTACTGTTTAATAATAATACTAATAATTTATCTGGTGCATTTTTTTGAGGTCATCCCTGAGAATAGAGAACCGATTTAGAACTCTCATTTTTAATAGTTAACTAAACCTGTTTCAATGCCAGAAGTCTATTTTATTAACTTTACTCCTGGATTCCCTATTTTTTAATGATTTTGTATTCTGTAATAATAACAAGAATCCTTATTGCTACAATCAATTGACATTATTTGTTTTGTGCAGTACTTTATTTCTTATAATAACAACATGAATCAGGCATGAATCCATTTTCAACTTGAGGAAACTAAGACAATATAATATCTTCTAGATATTAGGTAACTTTTATAAAATAAGATACCTAGTGAATGCTATGGTCAAGTTTGGAATCCAGTCTTTTTGACTCCATAGTTAAATTTACAATTTCTCTAAGGCCTTTGGAGTATTTATAATAGCTAAAATATCCTAGTTATTAGGAGTCTTAAGACCCCTAATGATCAAGGGAATCTGGTTGAACAAAAATGAACTAAATTATATAGTCAGTGTATGTATGTATATATTTGCGACACTTAACAATGTTTCAGTTAATTGTAAACCACATTTAGAAAAGTAGCTATACCACATAGCCCAGGTGCATAGCAAGATATACAATCTAGATTTGTGTAAATATACTCTATGATGTTCAAACCACACAGAAATTGCCTAATTGTTCACTTCTCAGAATGTATCCTAGTCATTGAACAATCTATGAGTATATTCTTGTGTATCATTTACTAGGCTATGCATATATTTACATAAATGAGCATCCATTTTCAAGTTTTATTTAAGTTCTCAGCAATTTTACTATGATCTGTAATTATAAAATATTCTAAATTATTTTATCACCATATTTCAGCAGTTGTGTTGTTTTGGTTTAGATATGAGGTATCCTCCTAAAAAGATCATGTGTGAGACAATGCAAGAAAGTTTAGAGATTAAATAATTGGGTTATAAAAGGTTTAATTTAATCACTTCTATCATGATGCCTTGCCTTACCTGAAGCTCCAAGGAATGGAGCCAGCCGTCTATAGACTGCAGCTTCTGCAACCACAAGCCCCCAAATAGACTTTTCCTCCTTAAAATTGTTCTTATCAGAGTTTTAGTAATGTCCGCATGAAAGCTGACTAAAACATGTGTGTATAAAATGCAGAGACATTCTTACACAGGTGACAAATATTTTTTAAAAACCACAAAAGTACCTTGCAACCTAATGACTTAGTTGATATCTGTTTGAAATGTTCTTTTTTTTTCTTAATACACAGGCTAATGATCATAATTTTTGGACTTGGACATATTAAAACTGGGAAAAAAATAGCTAAATGAAACATTTTTCCCTCTGAATAATCACAACAGAGATTCGTTTCGTTATGAAATATTCAGCTGACGTCTAAAATTATGTATTTAAGAACATAATCATGAACTACTAGATTATTCAAAAACCAGAAAGCTTTCTAAGTATTCATTTGTGCT